GTGATCAGATGAATTGCAATTAATTGCAAAGTCCCTCTTTGCCATGAAAATGAACTTAATCCCAAAAAAAACATTTCCACTGCATTTCAGCCCTGCCACAAAAGGACCAGCTGCCATCATGTCAGTGATTCTCTCATTGACGAGGACAAGGCTGGCGATCACACTGTCATGCTGATTGAGTTAGAATAACAGACTGGAAGCTTTAAAAGGAGGGTGGTGCTTGAAATCATTGTTCTTCCTCTGTTAACCATGGTTATCTGCATGGAAACACATGCCGTCATCATTGCTTTGCACAAAAAGGGCTTCACAGGCAAGGATAATGCTGCTAGTAAGATTGCACCTAAATCAACCATTTATCGGATCATCAAGAACTTCAAGGGGAGAGGTTCAATTGTTGTGAAGAAGGCGTCAGGGCGCCCAAGAATGTCCAGCAAGCGCCAGGACCGTCTCCTAAAGTTGATTCAGCTGCGGGATCGGGGCACCACCAGTGCAGAGCTTGCTCAGGAATGGCAGCAGGCAGGTGTGAATGCATCTGCACGCACAGTGATGCGAAGAATTTGAGGATGGCCTGGTGTCAAGAAGGGCAGCAAAGAAGCCACTTCTCTCCAGGAAAAACATCAGGGACAGACTGATATTCTGCAAAAGGTACAGGTATTGGACTGCTGAGGACTGGGGTAAAGTCATTTTCTCTGATGAATCCCCTTTCCGATTGTTTGGGGCATCCGGAAAACACCTTGTCCGGAGAAGACAAGGTGAGCGCTACCATCAGTCCTGTGTCATGCCAACAGTAAAGCATCCTGAGACCATTCATGTGTGGGGTTGCTTCTCAGCCAAGGGAGTGGGCTCACTCACAATTTTGCCTAAGAACACAGAGAATGGTACCAACACATCCTCTGAGAGCAACTTCTCCCAACCATCCAAGAACAGTTTGGTGAAGACCAATGTCTTTTCCAGCATGATGGAGCACCTTGCCATAAGGCAAAAGTGATAACTAAGTGGCTTGGGGAGCAAGACATTGACATTTTGGGTCCATGGCCAGGAAACTCCCCAGACTTTAATCCCATTGAGAACTTGTGGTCGATCCTCAAGGGGCGGGTGGACAAACAAAAACCCACAAATTCTGACAAACTCCAAGCATTGATTATGCAGGAATGGGCTGCCATCAGTCAGGATGTGGCCCAGAAGTTAATTGACAGCATGCCAGGGCGGATTGCAGAGGTCTTGAAAAAGAAGGGTCAACACTGCAAATATTGACTCTTTGCATAAACTTAATGTAATTGTCAATAAAAGCCTTTGACACTTATGGAATGATTGTAATTATACTTCAGTATACCATAGTAACATCTAACAAAAATATATCATAACACTGAAGCAGCGAACTTTGTGAAGACCAATACTTGTGTCATTTTCAAAACTTTTGACCATGGCTGTACATTAGGGACTCACCTAAAGGCTCTGTAAAGGTCAGACAGACTACACTACTGTCTACATTAGGGACTCACCTAAAGGCTCTTTAAAGCTCTGACAGACTACACTACTGTCTACATTAGGGACTCACCTAAAGGCTCTGTAAAGGTCAGACAGACTACACTACTGTCTACATTAGGGACTCACCTAAAGGCTCTGTAAAGGTCAGACAGACTACACTACTGTCTACATTAGGGACTCACCCGTTTCTGTGTCATGCACGCTTTTCCAGATTCTGTAGGAGAGGGTGGAGCCTAGCAGCAGGTAGGTGTCATGGGAGGGGCTAAGGTAGAGTCTGTCCGTCACTGTCAGGATCACAGAGGCTGGCTCCACCCACTAGGTAACACACAGGGGACAGGTTAAAACCAGCACAAACTATTCTTTCACATAAACTAATCCATCGCTCTTCATCCATACTCTATTGCCCCATCCACTCATCCATCATTCCAGGTGGATGTCTTTATCTTTCTGAAGCCAATCCATCAATCCCTTCATCCTTCTTACCTTGTAGTCTGGGTGCGAGAGGGAGACCCTGACCTTTGCCACCCCGCTACGGACACCCTCCAGCAACACCCTGTCCCCCCTCTGACCTGCTTCCTCCAGGGACAGGATGTGATGCAGCGGGGAGTAGCCCGCCTCTGAGAAACGCACAAACCTACACAACAAATACCCAGTATATACCATTAGGTTTTCTGTTGACTGTATGCTACTTTCATCTTTCACCTTCCTTTGTCATTATTTCCCGCTTCCTCCATCCCTCTCTCACCTAACACTATCTGCTGTCTCTGAGTCCTTTACTAGCCTCCACTCAAACTGTAGACCTGCCAGACTACTGAATGTGTTGCCTGAGAGTGTGTGAGAGAGAGAGAGAGAGAGAGAGAGAGAGAGAGAGAGAGAGAGAGGTGATAATTACATCCTCAGGCAGAGAGAGGTGTTAATTACATCCTCAGGCAGAGAGACTCCAGGTGCCGGAAGGTAGCAGTAAACACACAGATCCAGGATCCAGGTTCTTTAGCACAACTGTCAGTCTGTCTGTCTGCAGGAACTAGCCTCAGGTTAGTTAGCCTCAAGTCTTTTCCCTCCAGTCTACCCTGGGCTATTGGATGGCTATACAACCTGAACACTGTGACCTGGATGGGTTTCTAAGCCAGGAGAATAAAGAGGAAAAGGGAACCTCCAGGGCTGGATGTGGATAATAGACTAAAGGTGATACACAGGTTCTAGGGCTGGATGTGGATAATAGACTAAAGGTGATAGACAGGTTCTGGGGCTGGATGTGGATAATAGACTAAAGGTGATACACAGGTTCTAGGGCTGGATGTGGATAATAGACTAAAGGTGATACACAGGTTCTAGGGCTGGATGTGGATAATAGACTAAAGGTGATACACAGGTTCTAGGGCTGGATGTGGATAATAGACTAAAGGTGATACACAGGTTCTAGGGCTGGATGTGGATAATAGACTAAAGGTGATAGACAGGTTCTGGGGCTGGAGTGGATAATAGACTAAAGGTGATACACAGGTTCTAGGGCTGGATGTGGATAATAGACTAAAGGTGATACACAGGTTCTGGGGCTGGAGTGGATAATAGACTAAAGGTGATAGACAGGTTCTGGGGCTGGAGTGGATAATAGACTAAAGGTGATACACAGGTTCTAGGGCTGGATGTGGATAATAGACTAAAGGTGATACACAGGTTCTAGGGCTGGATGTGGATAATAGACTAAAGGTGATAGACAGGTTCTGGGGCTGGATGTGGATAATAGACTAAAGGTGATACACAGGTTCTAGGGCTGGATGTGGATAATAGACTAAAGGTGATACACAGGTTCTAGGGCTGGATGTGGATAATAGACTAAAGGTGATACACAGGTTCTAGGGCTGGATGTGGATAATAGACTAAAGGTGATACACAGGTTCTAGGGCTGGATGTGGATAATAGACTAAAGGTGATAGACAGGTTCTGGGGCTGGAGTGGATAATAGACTAAAGGTGATACACAGGTTCTAGGGCTGGATGTGGATAATAGACTAAAGGTGATACACAGGTTCTGGGGCTGGAGTGGATAATAGACTAAAGGTGATACACAGGTTCTGGGGCTGGATGTGGATAATAGACTAAAGGTGATACACAGGTTCTGGGGCCGGAGTGGATAATAGACTAAAGGTGATACACAGGTTCTGGGGCTGGAGTGGATAATAGACTAAAGGTGATACACAGGTTCTGGGGCTGGATGTGGATAATAGACTAAAGGTGATACACAGGTTCTGGGCCTGGAGTGGATAATAGACTAAAGGTGATACACAGGTTCTGGGGCTGGATGTGGATAATAGACTAAAGGTGATACACAGGTTCTGGGCCTGGCAGCCAAAAACTGTCCACAATAAAACAAAGTTTCCTTTCAACCCTTTGGATTTTCGTTTTTTCCTCTGTGAACCCGTGGTACATTTGGATGTGTGGGACTTTTAAGATCAGCTCTGGAAGGGACATAAGTGAGCCCATGCTCAACGCTCACTCTACATATTGACTGCCCTCAGAGCTAAAGGTGTGGGGTGGGTGATATGTCAATGAGAAGGCGGGTACCTCCTGAGTCCAGTGCCATGACTGACAGCACGAGGGGTGGGTCCTCCGTGAACAGTTGACGTGTGGTCGTGACAACCTGAATCTGCTTGATCTGGTCAACAATGACATCGCAGCGCAGGGTATGGCCAGTCACTGAAAGATGATGAAGGCTGTTTAGTTACTCCATCCACACCCCTCCCTCTCTCCGTTCTGCTACACACAAACTCCCCTCACCAGAGTCCTGTCCCCGTATGATGCTGGCCCCTCGGTTAGTGTCCAGTGGAGCAGACAGAGGCAGGGCGGACACTAGGGCCTGCTGGCTACAGGCGGATGGAGGGAGGATGGAGGGAGGGATGGAGGGTGAAAGGGGCCAAACACCGACTGCCTGGGGTCGGGAGGACACCCTGAAAATATCACACACAGATAACTAAGTGGCGCTCTGCCTACACCCACTTGGCATTATGTCTAATATTTAAGTTGATACATCTGCTGCTTTTTTAGCACTACGACATCAACTTGGCAATCTGAATCGAAACATTCATGTTATCATTCACTGCCACTCACCATTTATAGCATCCCTTCTCTGCTGCCAACGTGAAGTTGACATGATTGTGATTAGATCTGGGCAAAAGTAACTTGGGAACATTCAGCCTGGTCGACTGACTCAAAGCAATAATCGTTACACAAAAAATCAATAATTTACATAATACTTTAGAGTTTAAAACGGCCATTATTGTGAATACATTTTGAGGTTTCAACAATTGCGATCAAAACATTTAAACTGACGTTAGAGCAGTTTCGTTTTTTCTAGATACGTCGCATTGTTTACATTGAACCGTTACCGCTAGCTAACGTTAACTAGCTAAGCTAGAGGCTTAGATAGATATTGCGAGCTAACAAGTAATAAAAAACGATATATGTTCGTCAATGACTTGTCATTTCTAAATAAACGAATTAATGAGACAAAACAGCAACTAAAAAGCTATTAAACTAAACAATATTGCTAAATGTATGTGGACAGCAATGCGTCACTATTGTTGTTGATTTTTGATCTCAGCTGCAAAAAACTAAAAGGTGCGTTCATGATGAGCTAATGACAGAAGAACAGTGACGTCATGTGTTTAAAGTCTTGAACGTTCCCCAACTCTAGTCTTCTTGGGACCCAAAATAATTATTTGGACAGACAGATCACATTTGTTTTACCTAACATCAAATTATTAAACTTTTTACATTCATATACAATACATTTAGTATATTCAAGGAATAAATTACATTTTGAACCATGACACGTCTTCAAACACGCCTTATGCAGCTGCAACTATATTCTTTAAAGGGCCAATCTGCGTTTAAAACAATAACAAAGCAGAGACCCCGCCTCTGTTTTGGGCAAAAAGCTGAGGGTTGGGCCTGAAGAAATGTAACCACTCTCAAATTCATAGTAATAGCTTTGGATGCAAGCACTGACCATCCATAATATCAACATTATCGTTTTAACCATGTTTTGAGGCTATACAGTGTTTGTTAACATTTACAATGTTAATAATAAGCCATTTAGCAGACGCTTTTATCCAAAGCGACTTACAGTCATGCGTGCATAATTTTCTTTTGGTGTATGGGTGGTCCCGGGGATCGAACCCACTACCTTTGCGTTACAAGCGCCGTGCTCTACCAGCTGAGCTACAGAGGACCACTAAAAAACACCCTGTATGTGTTCAGTCGGCACGAAATGTTACAAAGCCTTTAAAAACATTTTGCATCAGTGTGCCCTATTGAACATGGCCCTGGTTCAAGACAATGAGAAAATAATCAGAATCAGGCTATTGGGGTTGAAGTATGGGAATCCAGTCTCTCAAGTATGGGAATCCAGTGTTTTACAAACATTGGAGTAAAACAAGCTTACATTTTGGGTTCTGATGGGGTATGACATTTGAACTAAGCTCACAAGGCATTTATAAGTTGTAGTAAACTAATGGACAACAACTCTTAGGCTTCTACTTCCAGCTTATACACACGATATAAAAAATATATGGCAAATAGAAATCAAAACTGGATGGTGTTCAGAGATAGATGGGAGGGGTTCGGTGGAGCTGAAGGATGGGACTAAAAACAAACAAAAGATAACTATTGTAAAATAAGCATGTATAAGTTATATTCTTCAATAATCAGTGGGTATATCATTCACTTATGTCAAAAAAATTGATGTAACAACTGCAGATTGCCATTTTAACAACAATGTGATGTGTAAATTGGACTGGGGAAAGAAAACGCTTGCATTTTAGCATGTAGGCCACATTGTATTGCCAATAAAATCAGGTTCTTCTAACATAGGAAAAGGAAAGGGAATACCTAGTCAGTTGTACAACTGAATGCATTCAACTGAAATGTGTGTTCCGCATTTAACCCAACCCCTCTGAATCAGAGAGGTGCGGAGGGCTGCCTTAATCGCCAACCACGTCTTCGGCGCCCGGGGAACAGTGGGTTAACTGCCTTGCTCAGGGGCAGAACGACAGATTTTTACCTTGTCAGCTCGGGGTTTCGATCCAGCAACCTTTCGGAACATGGCAGGTTGCTATAGTCACAGAGTAGTTTTTATGATTATAAAGAAGAAAAAATAGGCAAGCCAAAATTCACCCAATAACTCAGTAATGTTATATAGATATATATTTTATTAATTATCTCTGGTAAAATAAAATTACAAAATAATTTCAACCTCAAACGCACCTCCCTTGTCCATTATTTATTATTATTAAAGTTTATTATTAATACATTTATTATAATTGTCAGGACGAATGAGAAGAATACTATAGTATAATAATAGTAGATATCAGCTATAACTGTTCAATCGTAATGGTAGAAAAAACTGAGCAATACAAAGCTATGTAGATTTCAGTAACAGTATACTGTACAATATTCCAAGTGGGTGTAATTCAGTATTCCGGCCACAGAATGTCACTATAAGACAGTTTTCAAAATGGTCTCCGTAGAAAGGGCTTACAGAAGTAAAATAGTCTCTTATTCCATCACACCATAATAATTATTCTCTCAGATATATAGTCTCTCCGTCTATAGGGTTAAGTTTAGTAAGCAACCGTTTCTCTCTTGCCATGGCCTGTATCCTTTGTCTTGTTAACATTCCTCCATTCCCTGTCTATGGCAGTCCATCTTATATCTGGCAGTGAAAAGTGCAGTCCATAGAGCACTACAACTAGTCCAAATCCAGATTTTAATAGATATTCCTTTAAAAACATTGTCAGGAAATCTGAAACTCCTCTTCCCATCTCTTCTCCCCAGTGACAGCCTCTTCTGCCTCTCTTCTGTAGTCCATTTGAGAGAGAGCACTTTGGTAGATTGTGTGTGTATGTGTGTCCGCGTGTGTGTGTGTCTGCGTGTGGGTGTGGTTCAGCGTGTATATCGTGGGTTTAGGCATATCTGTGCCCCTGTGCAAACTGTGTGCGTGTGGTTTGAAATGTACAGCATACATTAATTAAAACAGAGTTTTGGGAACGTGTGGGCATAAGGAAATATGGCAGTAGTGTTTCCTTGGTGCGTGTCTATGCTCTCTGTAGTATAATAAATGCCAGGCAGTATGTTATTTTCAGTTGGACTTAGTGCATTGTGTGCTTGGCAGTAATAGGATATAGTATAGGCTATACTATAGTATTTTATAGTTTACTATAGTATGCTGTGGGATATTGTGTGCTATTTTGTGTGTGTGTGTGTGTGTGTGGTGTATTTTGTTGTGGTGTGTGTATGTTGCCATGGTGTGTGTGTATGTGTGTGTGTGGTGTGTCACGTAGTGTGTGTGTATGTGTGTGTGTGTGT